CACTTATTGTAGAGTTGGAAACGAACTCAGTCACCAAGGCAACCTGCTTCGCATCGACTTCCTGTCGGATAAAACGAGATTGCCTTGACTAATAAAGTGATTAAATTCGATTTAAATGTAAAAAGTACCTATTTAAGATTAGTTTTAGACATTTATCTTAACAATAATATATTCCTGCTGGCGTCCAACAGATACGTCTTCTAAAGGCATTTGACACGCCAAATGTTAATTAAAGTTACATCAAGAAAGAAATGTATTTTAAAATAGGGCGACCGCATTGCATACCGTCATTAGATCGGTCTTGGTTGTAAAACTCCATGAAGTAAAACGGGCTTTCTGTAGAAAGGCCAGAAGTTGTTTTTTGTCCATCGATATTGTAACCATTTGCATCGTAAAACTCCTCATAGTCCCATTTCCAGTCCCATACCTTATCAGGAAGCGCCGAAATGCTGTTTTCTTTATTCGGTTCTTTTTCTTTGCTGTGATCTAAATCCCCTCCGGAAGTAGATAAAGGTGACATAGTGATGCCGGCGCAGTTGACATTGCAGCAATAGTACAATCAAGTCGAGCTGCTCCACAGATTTAACCCTCCTGATTCCCAGTTGGTCTACCAATCACAGACACACCCTCGATAAATTGCCCTACGATTTGGCTGACAGTGTTCCTTGCCATCTGATTGGCCCAGTGTGAGGAGAAGCTGACACCGCCACACGGTTGCCCGAATTAATGCGCTAATGTTTGTAGACCAATCATCGGGCAAAATCGGCTTCAAGGAAGGTAGGACAGGCCAAGCGAAGGTAGACTAAACACGCCACTACCTCTCTTCCTCTATGCTCACACACTTTGCCCCATTTGCCCTTGCCACTGAGCTTCTTCACAGCTTCATCACAAAAATTAGTGGTCAATTGGGAGGGCCGTCTGCTCAGTGCCTCATTGACAGACCTTTTTAGGCGCTTCAGCGTGGGTGTGGCTTATCCACCCACGCACCGGTCACATTTCATCGAACTTTCACTTCAATGTTTCATAAGTAAGCGACTTCATGTCGGAAACTATGGCCATGACTTGTAGCCTTATTTGAAAAAAATATTGGATATTTCCTGGGTATTAGAAATAGTTAGTTCAAATGGCACAGTTGTGAGATAAATTTATTGGCAATAACCTTCGAACAATGAATTTGCTTAAAAAGGGCAATTTTGAAGGTTTAGTCAGTCCCGACAAATTAGTGATTTACGTGAACGGTTCAAACCGAAGGAAATGCAGAACACAACTGCATCGAAATGTATCTGTCTGCAGGCGGCAACAATGCCACATAGATTCTCACTAAGCGAAAGTGGTTAAAACCACAATTTTGCTTCCTGACACCTTATTGAGAGTTCCCCGAGTTTAAATCAGAGTAACAAGAGTCAATTTTGTATTAATCTTAAAGAGGTTACATAAATTGACTTTTCGCAACCAAAAAATGACAAATTCTAGTGCAGATGATTAATTTGGTTTTGGTGGTTTTAATCAAACTTTGCTTTTGTAATCACTTGTTCCTGACACGTTTTCCATCGTTTTATTAATTCATGACATTTATCTGATTTGCTTTTTAGCTCAAAACTTTTACTTAGACACTGTAAATGGTTCAAATGATACACTTAAACGTCATTTGGAAATCTTGCATTCCACAGAGCGTTTTTTTAGTTAGACATGGAATGTGCCTACTTGCCTTGGAAAATACAATCTCTAACAACGCCGTCTCAAAGCGGTAGATTACTATTTGATGGAATCTAAAATATAAATATTGAGTTTGTAAAAAATATGAGGAATATTCAAAAAGCATTTGCTGGAAGCAGAGGAATGCATCATCACATCAGCGCATACTTCAAACTTAGCGGGTACATTTGCTCATTAATTTTCCAATCACAGCAAATTCTGCGCTAAGCATTTCAGCACTGAGGGAACAAAATTAAATCATGTTTGTTTTTTCGGATTTTGCTGTGTCCGAACCTTGGAGACGGAAGTGATTTGATGTGGTTTAAAAACATGATAGAAATATTTTTGCAAATAGGTTTACTCAGCTCCAACCGCTTAAAATAATCGACATTAGAACATTGCTCTGCAAGAGAATAAGGATTTACATTTACTATAACAGTGCCGAGCGTTTCAAGGAAAACCTAAATGATGTTATTTATTCCCTTGACAGGTGTCCAGGCAACATTTGACCTGTGCAGTTGCCGGCGGGAGGAGGAAACGGATAATGAGAATGTCTTTATCGAAGACAAAATTGCGCATCTTTGTGCTTTACACTGTGATTCTTCTTAAATGGTCGCTACGTCCTCATACTGGTACTTTCAGCATGCCAAAAATTGTTAAAATAAAAATGGTTTTGCGATAAATAAACAAATTTTTTAATTTGCAGCGCTCGACCATAAGGCAAGTCTAGTGGATGGATCATAGTGGAGGCCGATACAAAAAATGTTACTTTATAGAAGCAATGTCCGTCTCCAAAGTCTATCCATTTGCATGAGTAAATAGGCACGCACTGAAAGAGGACTTGGTTAAATATCATTTGGTAAATGGGCTTTGCTCATACCTATTTTGATTCATTAAGAATACGGACGATTTTGGTGAGACGCATGAATGGGTAACATTCAAGTCCGTCAGTGTTATTTTCGAGCAATTTATCACCAAACTACTAATTATCCACTCCCACGTTGTGAAGATGTATGCAATATAGGTAATTGCAAAACTAAGTGAATGACTTTGCGAGAAAAACGATTTTGGAGACTATGCTCACCTGACTTATTTCAAAACAAGTATATATTTATAAAAAATTGTTTATTTTACAGAAATGCATCCAGTTAACTCGAGTTACCCCAATTGGCATTGATTTCGGCAAGATATAACGATTAAAAACAAGGAAATTACGAAGTAGTCTTTGTTACAACATTTGCACATTTGCTTCGAAGAACGGTTTAAAACGTCGATTGCAACTTTGGACCATAATGTTAACGTAACTATGTCCTTAAACTAGCTTTGGCAAATCATTTAAAAAATTTAAGTACTTTGACAAGGTAGGCATTTTAACTAGAGTTTGGCGATTCTCAATGCATCGCTGCACTTTGGAAGTGCCTAATCTTTATACCCAACGGTCGCCATGACCCGAGCTCTTCTGACAGCCAATGAGGAATAAGAAAGGGTTAGGAATACGGCGTAGGCAGGGAGATGGGCAGGCAGGTTTCTGTTTACGCACCTAAGCACGCCATCCTCATCGACTTATAAAGCAGCTCATTGATGGGGTACAATGCATGCTGGTTGAAACCATTCGAACCATTTCGAGGTCAAGGGGAAGCTCACATTCATGTAATTGCTCTACTCGTTCTCAAGACGGAAAGACGATTTTGTTAGCACACAAGCGCGCAAGATGAAATGGCTTGACTAAATAGTAAGAGGCCGGAAATGCTGCGTGCAGAAGCGTTGGGCAAAATCCAGTCGGCCCGTTTGGAAAACGCTCAGCAGGAATAAGGAGTGGTATAAACTCCATCACTTATGAAACACAGAAAGTAATCGCATATTCCTTTTCGCTTTGACATGATGGTTGACTTTTTGCTTGGCATCATTACTAGGTAATGAACTACAAACTTTTAAGAAAACTGCAAAACACATGGGTTTATTAGATTTCCCTACACAATGTTGAGGTACTCGTGAATTCCAACTTATGGAGGCCATATGGTGGCATTTTTATTTATAACAAACTAAAATACTTATAACTTCTCAGATTCTGAAAGCCGCTGTTGTATCTACAAAGAACCAAGGTCGTCTACTTCATTCACATCTTTTGTATGACAGATAAAAGAACTCAGTAATTATAAGATAATAAATTGAAAGGCAGATTCTGTTTGAAAATATAAATGTACTTAAATATAACAAAATTTTCTTTGTGTCTCACCCCACGATGAATTGCTTAACGGTAAATAATAAAGCTTGCATCCACTTCTTATTTTAAAAATTTGGCTCGGTGTTGCAAGACATAAAGTTTTTTAAATCGTCATCTACCACCGTACTGTTGAAAGTGGTTAATGATAAGATGGCTTATATGAAAAAAGCATGCATGCAATTCTTTTAAAAAAGCCTCTTTGATTGTCAAATCTTGGGCAAAGAGTATGTTGAAAGAATTTTCTCCTTAAAAATCGTCTAACACTCATCTGAGCTAGAATGTGACTTTTCGCTATTTAAGTAAAAACCCAATAAAAGCCAATTTTTTCTAAATAACGGGGTCTTCTTTTTCTGATACAATTTACTGCTCTGTCGTCTAAATATTTGGATTTTGGGACTATACGAATTTAGCGTCCTGTAAAATTAAGGTTTCTCGACTTTTTCGCATTTGTTGGCCATTTTTATAAATACCTATGAACTATGAAAAGGTGGAAAATTCATTAGCTCCTTAACCTCTCAGTCAAATGTTGATATAAAAATTGGCACCAATAAGACGCATGGTGATGGTACTGCAAAGTTGCAAGTTGAAAAATATCCTAACACAATTTCTGCATCTATGACTCCACTAGTGTTTTGTAGTATCGAAACAGGATGTGTATTAGCCACTTTCCACATCAGGTTAGAAAATGAATTTTTACTTACAAAAGCTAGTAGGAATAATGCATGCAATTCAATTCACTCATCATTCTGATTATGTAACTTACTTAGGCATACTTCAATGCACTTATTTTGCCATGCCTTGCTTCACAAAATTCTCACCAAATTCACGAGAAGACGCAATTTTAATGAAATAAATATAATTTTGTGGGCAACATCAGAATTCGCTTAAGTATTTCATATTTTCGGTTATTAATTAGGCAATATGTTTGGAAGTGGTACACTCCCTGCCATACTAATTCTACCATAGGAGTAAAAGGTAGCAGTCTAAAATTCCAACATATGATGGCCGTCCTTACTTATGTTTAAAATATTTTGAAATGACTGCAGCCCAATGAAAAACACATATATATGTATCTTAAATGCTATAATTTTTTGAGATTGTAGTAGCGCAGGTTGCAAATTTTTGAGTTAGTGATCAAGTCTTTAGTTAGTTTATTTACACATATAAACCTGTTACCTTTAGGACTTAAAACGAAATCCTTACTTCTATCTGGAATAGATGGTTCCAGTTGTTCAGAACAATGTCCAAGTTTCTCTACTTTTACCCCCATCAGTCGACCGAATCCAGCCTGCTCGAAGTGCCGTAACAAGTTGGGCTGAACCCGAGAGTCGGGTGGGCCAGTTTGCAGCAGCAGGATAAAATCTTCTAGTTCGTTCCAGGGGCACGACAGTTCGTGCTCCGGACCGGAAATGCGCGGAGCAGGAATTTCGCCGTACGCCACTCGCTCTTGGCGCGGACGGGGTGCGTGACGACTAGAGTATGGACTATCTGCCACAGAACGGTTGCTTGATGGAGTTGGTACATACACTAGCGACTTCTTTGCCCATATCACATTTAAGACATCACCTTAAAAAAACATGGCAGAGGTCCGTTTAAGTAAAAAGCAAAATGGGAATTTGAAATTCTATCAGTGATTGTGGTTAGCCTACAATACCACTGTTTATACTTCCTCACCATAATGCTATTCTGACAAGTGACAGATGTGTAGAAAAACCAAAAGAGGGCTTACACTTTTACAGCATTTTCAACTGCCTGAACAACTTTCTTCAAAAAAGACATTGTTCCATTAATCTAATAATAGTCGATATTTCACAATTTCAAATGAACTTATAATTTTGTAGGTACGAGGAGGACTTATTTAAAAAAAGTCGCCAGTGCATAGAAATCTTGTAAACTTATTAGGTTGATATCAAGAGTACATCCGAAATGGTGAAAGAAATCGGTGTAGGAGTTGAGTAATTGCGCTAGTCTGCTGCAATAAAATTTCGAATTTTTGGTAACGGAGATGGTATTGGATTGACATCAATGGCGTAAAGAGATCAGATGAGACTTCTTTGCTCCAAGGCCCTTGTCAATTCAGCACGAAAGCAAAACAGCTAAGTACGAATGAGGGACGTGCCGCTTTGTCATAGCACGATTTAGGCGAACAAAATTACATGTGAGTAAGAAACAATGATCCAATAGTCATTGATAAGTTTATATTCATTATTTTTTCGCAGTTTAAACTAAAATAGCTATCTGTCTCATTTGAGAAAAGTTTTGGTGATTTTTAATCCGAGAAACTGAAAATTAATAAATTACCAGTACTATTTACATCGGGGAATATCAGGAACTCTGTTAAATAGAAGCACTTGCACCTTGATTATTATAAAATATCAGCATTATCAAGAAAAACAATATTTAGATGGTAGCCAAGCTACTATGAACGCACCATCCGGTGCAACGTTGATTAGGAGAAGGTCCATGTCATTTGCGCAGACATAGCGACCTATTTTTCGGCATTCTGGTCGCAGGTATTCATCAATAGTGGCAAGGAACTCCCACTTCCGTCTCAGAGTCTGCAGCATGTGGGTCCTTGGATCAGCCCTCACTGCGTACCCTGGTTCGAAACGCATTAGAACTCGATGGTTCGGCACCTCCGGCAAACGAGGGTTTCTATCACCCACATGAATGATCACGCGTGATATCAATGTGCCGACCGGACTCGTCATTATCCTTTGAGGATAGCAACCAGAATACAAATGAATGTGCCATCATCCTGCCGATGACCAAGGCTATTTAAACTCCATTTTTGCATGTTTAGGGTTATTTGTAATTGGTTAATTAAGACGGAGTATTTGCCGTGTGTTTGTTACTACTCATTATTGTCCAGGTACGGAAACTACCCGTCAAGTAGAATATACTAAGGCATTATGTTATAGGTAAAACCTAAGCTTACGAGCCATGATGCAGGTTGTTTGAAAATAGGCCAACTTAACTATGCAGGCTAAAAACAATTCAAATACTGAGTCGGATGGGTATGTCTATAGCTTTCTAGGTCTTTTATGTCCTGGTATTAGCAATAATATGACCTATTACATTTTCAGCTACATCTCCACGCACCAAAATTACAGTGCATTCTATTCTACTCCATTGAGGATCCAAAATAATCAAAGAACACATATTACCTTAAAAAATAACGCACTGATGCTCAAGAAATCCCATTCATTGAGTGGAAGTGTGTAAAAAAGTGCGAAGTGGTACAAACCTGAATTCATGAATTCCGGCAGAAATGGCTGATTTCATTGCAATTCCAAATATTGCGCAATCAGTTGCATCCAGGCTAAGCCAAGATGTTTCGTTTACCTCAATCAAGTCTAAAAAGTGAATTGGCATGCATATATTTCAATGAAATAAAGATTACCAAATCAGTTAGGAATTTAATCTAGATTGCAGAAATCTATGCAAAAAAACTATAATAGGTCGAGGATCGTTAAGCTTTCATGCTATGCTACACAAAGAGATCGTTTGGGATGAATAGTGATTTCCCACAATGGAAAAATTCAAGCCGGTGAAGTATGTATCAGCCATTACTCTTATTTTCTACGATGTTATGCGTGCAGTTTTGTTGAATCACAGAGACAGTTTTTTACGGAAAGGACCATCTATGAAGACAGTGCAGGACTTGACATCTACCTGACAGAACCACATTCATTGTTGAAATTTAAAATAACTATTGTTCAACGTCTCCAGCCTTTCTTCTGGATTAACGTTATATCACAGACGCAAGTTTTCCATCTTAATTTTTAATGTTTTACACAAATTAGTGGTTTAGAATTAGAATTTACGTTTTGCTATTATACAGATATTTGAAAAGTCCTTCAAAAAAAAAACAGCTACAAATAAGCTTCCTCATCGGGATTCTGACACAAACAGCAAATAAATTTCGCTAAAAAATAATTCACACACCTTTGTCAAAAAGACAGGCAGACAGTGAACGAGATTGAAAGCAAGTGCTGTCCGTTGATAAAGGGTAGCGAAACGTCTCACCTTAAATGGAAAAATTTAAACCAAAATGAAATTATTCCTGGTGTCTAGCCTTCTAATATGCAGAATACCTGTGCAAGCATTACCTTTATACAAAGTAAAATGACCGGATAAAGCTTGATTGACAACAAATTTCCGCTGCTGTTACATCCACCAACTTCATGTGTTTAATCCCAGAGAGTGGGCTCATTAAAATAAATTTTAAACCGACTCAATGCATGACTTATATTCTCTGGCTTCATGTTTAGGCCAAAAGTTATTGCAACTGTAAGAGCATCCTCAAATCCGCAAATCCATCTTCACGTGTATACACGACTGGAGATTAAAACAAATTTTCTGTTGCAACAAAGATTAGTAAATGATAGGAATAAGAAAGGAGAGTTTATTTACAAAGTATCGTCCGAAATATTATGGCTGAGAAGGCGAATGATACAAGTGTTTTGGTATAAATGACAGAGTTGGGGCAACGTTGTTCGGGTGATGCTTCAGAAAAGGATCAGCGCAAAGTGCTGAGTTTTAATGCCGTGGCACTGAAATGCCTAAATTAGATTGAATTGTACACTGGTTATTTCAGCTACATTTGAAAAGGTAACAATAAGTTACGTGAAATTGTATGAAGGGCAAAATGCGGGTTCCACGTTGGAAGTTCAGTAATTTACTGTATTGTACAAAAAACCTGCGCATTAGAATCAACCCGCTATGTCTAACTTTAAATGTATAAGCTTAGAGGTTTTTTGTCCCACCCGCAACCTTTTTCACTTGGATCGGAGGATTACTTAGACTAATTTGAAGTGTCAATTAAATTCCACGGTCGCTTCATGCCTCAGAGGACCCCGCTAATGGCACAAATGCGTAATTCACATAAATATGCAAAATTTTACAAGAAGACAGTCCATTGCAAATTTACAATTCCTAAAACCATTTCGAAATTTATGAGTTAGGAAGATGTAGTTAACAGCGCGCATTTCCTCATGGCTTTTGTAAAATAAGATGAACAAAGATAAACGCTCCTGCGAAGTTACATGTTCAACAATTGAACTTTTAAAACTACAATAAATTTGGTTTTGGACCGATAGTTTCCTGAAAAGAAATGGAAAACATTTTGAGTAAATCATACGGTAGCACTTGACCGAAGAGCAGGAACTGAAGCAGCTCTTTCTCTAAAAAAAACATTTAAATTCTACGAAACACAAGTTGGGAAAGAACAATGGTCGAAGCAAGAGACCCATATTAAATAGAACAAGGAGCAGCTTACTCCACTGCTAAAATGGCGGTTTTTTAAGTTTTTTTTAAGTTTTTTAAGTTTTTTAGTAATAGCTGGATATGCCAGTAATAATTCATCTTTTATAAAACGCCACTACCAACGAATTTGAGGTTTTTGCCTCTGACATCATCTACTGCCGTTTTCCATTTAAACATTTGAGCTTCCACTTTAAAGATCACAAGAAGTTGAGGCAAATACGAAACAAAAACACACAAAATGGGAAGCATAAGAGGTGGGAGTCAGTAGTTATTTAGCTGAGAATGCAAATTTAGTGCAGCCCTTTTTTGTTAAGGATTAAATTGTATGTAAATGCTCTGATGCGCGTTTGATTTACAGGATCTCTCAAAGACACGACGCGTTCGGTTCGACGAACCCCGTGATTCCAACCAAATCGTTCCGACCCGTAAATTACTCTATACAACTTTATTCCAACGATGTATTATGTTCTACACAGGTCAAGCTTATCAGTCAAAGGGTTTGAAAGTACAGGTTAATGAGAGAAACGAAGTGAGCTCTAAACTGAAGGCAGCACCAGCGGAATTTTTCCTTTTCTCACCTTAAAGCTCATTTTCTATGTGGCAATGGAGCTATTCTGGATTCTTCAAAGAATGCCTTCACTGGCCATTATTAGAGTGAGATAATGAGCATGTGTATTATTTTGTCCGAAATCTCTGCTTAAAGCTAGTACATTTTACAAACGACAAGAGAACGTAACTCCGCGATTCGAGATTTTTAAGATATTCACTAAGGAACACAACCGTAGAAATGAGATTTACGTATGGACCGGTGGCTCCTAGCTCATAGAGCTGCAGCCCATACATCCACCAGCGATTTACCGATTCGCGAATTAAGGATACCACGTTATACTTTCCTGTAAAACACCGAGCTGCTGAAACAATGCCCCAGAATGTTCACCAAGTGAAAGAAGATATGAGAAAAATTTTCAATCTAGCGTGAACACCGAGAAACAGTATATTCAAGACTGAGGGTGTCTTATAGCATTCAGGGCAAACTAGATGCCTATTTGGAGGAAGATCTAGTGCAGCTCTGCAGATCAGTTCCACTCTTCAAAGTGCATCGCAAGCATGAACTGTTCTTGAAATAAAAAAGCCGTTTCGAATAATATGGACTATTTCATCAACAAATTGTTCGGATTACAACACACTGTTTTATGCACGACTAATGCAGGCAAAACAAAATGCGGCCTCATAAAGGCAGGGCACATATCGGACAAAACAATGAATTATTAGAGTTAGCCAAAAAAAGAAACCTCCAAGCTGTGGTTTCGTGTGAAGCACTATCTAAGTGGAGCATCAGCGATGGTACTCAAAACAATGAAGGAAATATATAATACAAACTGGAATCTGTAAAATCTGGACTCCTCTAGACTACAAGCCGCCTGGTTTGACAAGCCTCTGGATGACAAAGGTTCTACAATGCCAAGGCTTGCGTAAAAAGTCCTCCAGTCTCCTTTGACGTTATATACAAAATAAGTTAATTTACAGGAGAGCTTTTTTAAATAATCATATCAAACGAAGATTCTTACTCTGAAGAAACTCATTGCTCTAAATTTCACAAACAAATTATTCAAATAGTAAAAGGTGAGTGTAATTCCCACTTGATAAAATTGCCGTCAGATCTAGTTAACTACAATTTGACTTATTTTCGATTTCGGAAAAAGAATAGGAACAAGGGGAATGTGCTTTGAGGTCTTTTTGAATTGTGGCAAAGTAGGTTAAGTGGAAGAATGCATAAAAATTATGATGTTTTAAGTATTCTGTCATAAATAAGCCAATATTTATCCTAAGTTTTAATTAACTCTAGGCGTTTCCCTGACAATGATCCGTCAACATGATTCTAGTCCTGCTGCAATCTGGGGCTGTCACCTCTGACACGCAAAAATTTTGACATGCTTCGGTTAAAGCCTACTTTTTTACAAATGCTCGAACCGCTCAACAAGTTGCGTTTTGGTGATATCTAAATTGTGCTTTATGAATAATTGTCAATAAAAGCCTATTATTTTCCTAAGAACATTTTTATGAATAAATCGTGAAGGTCATCGGAAAGGCAACATTGAAACTCTCTAATACTTCTATATATTTAAAGACAGTAGATAAAATTATCATTGTCAGTAACCAATTTCTAGACTGCACTCAAGTTAATGTTATTAGTCAGTATCTTTTGAAATGCATATCAATACAACCAAGAGTAGAGTTATCCTCAAATGATAAGCCTGAAATGTGTGCATGCAACCATAAGTGGATATGAGAAACTAATCGGGCCTCATAAGTAAAATCGCTCCATTTTATATAAGTTTCTAATGTTTAAAAGATTTTAAGACAGAAAAACTACCCATTTACTCGGTTCCATATACATAAATCAGAAAATATATTCGACACATTTATTAATGGATGAAATACAATGAACTGATATAATTACTACTTTATTTAACATTTCGTACAAATGGGAGTTTGATAATCAAGTATAAGGTATTGTTTGGTGATTTTATGATCAAAATTACCCGGACCAAACAACATTTTTGGTGATGATGACCTATGCTGACGTTGATCTGATTTGACAGAATGAATGCGACAAAATGTTAATCATCATTAACTGATCACTTGGGAAGCTATTGAAGGTACCTGAAGTCATACGTGCACATTGAATTCATTTCTACCTATTGTTTCAACTAATTCCTTTATTTTGAATCAGAAAGTAGTTTTAAGAATTTTAGAAAATAAAGTAATTTTTCCCAATGTATGGAAAACTGCCTTTTTGTTAATCTCCTACTCATAAAGCCTAGCGAGTTAGTGCCTGTAAATATTTAGTTTCAGATCAGTAATTATACAAGGCCTAAAGTCCAATCCATCCCATGCAAATGAACCCTACTGTTAACCTTTGACGGTGAATCCAGTGCAAATAAGTCCCCTTAGGTAAGCCTTGTTTATTTTAGTCTCAGAGAGTTACAAGCTGGTGATAATTAAGTGTATCACCATATTTTAATGTGATTTAGGCAATAGAATTGGGAAAAATTTGTAAGGTACCGCTAATATAGAATTACCCCCTTAGCGTCCATTCCTACAGCTTGGAGTGTCTTACAAGCGCCATACCTTAGGACTGGTTCCATGTCATAAAATATTTGTACATTTTATTCGATGGATTTTGTAGACTTGAACCCATTCGCATTCTCTTTTTAATGGAGAGAATTACGAGAACTGAAAGTTAAAGTACCACCCACTTTAGACTAATGCATTTCGTCCCCTTTCCCTATTTTGCTTCAAGGCATAAGGAAAAAGGCGAATTTTAATTTGGACAGAATTTGACTCTTCAAAACCAAGTACGTGGCATTGTGATCTGATGGAAGAGACAAATAATGTGCAGTTAAAATATGATGAGTTGCCAAAACAAACAGCGGCGTTTTTAGTGTTTCTATCTAAATGCGAAATGTCAATTCAAGTGACTTAAAATTTTATTCACAGTGATTTCCAAATTAGAAAATTTTAATTTCTATGATGCGTTTTAAACTTTTTTTTACTATGAATTGATTAGAAAATTGTTGTGCTAAATGGAAAAATTCTTAATCCTTATTTTAAAACTTGTTAATGTAAGTCACGAGAGTGTTTTGTTACTTCTAATAATTATTATAAGTAGTGGCTCTACTTCAACACAGTTGATGTACTAAATCACTCGTATGGTTTGCTCATTGGCTCCTTATATTTCCGAAACGCGGTGAAATGAGCAGGACTCACCGACGTAGGTGGTAACATTCACAACGGAGAGGACTGTGGCGGATCGGCTGCTGGATTCGCCCTTCCAGTAAGGGGAGAAGCAATTGCCAATTAGGTCCACAGCTACTACGGCCGTCGTGCCAAGTCTTGCCCATTCGAGGTGTTCAATGAGCTGCGGGGCCGGGGAAGACCACGAGGCCTGCCTGAGATCATTCTCAGAGAAATACTCCTGATGAGGTGATGAGACTGACGATGAAGGAGAGGAGTATCGGTGGTACAGAGGAGCTTTGAGGAGCTTTCGCTGGAGATCCTGTATGGATCGTTGTGGACACTTGTTCGTTGCAGGAGCCAGAGAAGTATGAGATAGGTTTCTAGTCACGTCGCGTATTCCTTCTTGCAACAGTGGCAACTGGGCCCATTCTATCTGGATAACCGATTGATCTAATTTGGTGCCAAAAAAATTGAAAATCAACGTACGGCACTTTTTTGAATTTAGGACTGGGCTGTTCAAAATATTCTGAAGATAAGACCACAATTTATTGCAAAAAAGGCTGTGACGCTAATGAATATAATAAAAAGTGAGCTACCAGTTGTTAACTTGTGCGTATGAATGTACATACGCTCAAGATGTCAGTTAATTAGGCACTTCATTAAGTAGATAAAAAAATACAAGCATGAAGATGTATAAAATGGGGAAACAAATAGATGGCCATTCTTTATAATACCCTGAATTAACAATGTTGATAGGCGCCATCTTAAAAAACATAATCTACACCAAAAGGTGCAGTTATGGCTGGAGAAATACCTTGGCGCTGAATATCCATCAGTATGATGCCAACACCACAGTGAGGACTACATTCGGGTCGGAGGTATTTGTCTAGATTGGTGACCAGGTTCCAACGGTAGGAGAGTGAAGTCTCGGGTGAGGTAGGCGGCCAGCTGTAGGTGGGGAAGATCCCCCTACCAACTGTTCCTTTTAGCTTCATGCGCATTCGCACGCGGTGGTTGTGGACAACGGTGGGTCGAGGAAACCAGCCATACTTGATGGAAGTTAAGGTCATCTCGAGGGGCCACTTGACCACGTCCACCGTGAAGTGAATATTGATCGGTGTCCGCTGATCAACAGCCACTATGCTCAACCTAAATTGGTCAAAAATTAACGACAGTTGTTTCTTTCCATTTATTATTAGATTCCTCAACAATCATTGTGCTTGACATTCCGCAAAATACATTAGATGAAGGAATGATTTTGTCTTTCTGGTGCGAGTAAATATGGCGAAAAATACGACTTTCTTTGAATTATTTAAACTTTTTGGATCTTTCATTCAATCAAACTTAGTACATTCGGTGTACCCAATAAACCATTTAAAGGAACTGCATAAAACGCTTTTCTTGTGGAACGATGCCTTCGGTGTTCGGTTAAATTTTACCGGATAATTTTCCACCCAAAATGATGCGTGCTATTTTTGATGCAAACTTGCTTTTCGTTTGCTAGCTGAGAGTAAGTGACCACAACAACCGGTGCGTCCACCTTGGAATTTGTGTTTCCAAATATGGTGCTTATTTCCTTAATTTACAAGCTACTGTTCACTGATTAGGTACTATGGCTAAATAAAGACATGAAGAGATTTATCAGACGCATAATTCCAAACATCCTTCCAATAGAATTTGACTTTCGCACTCTTAGGTTTGAAAAACTTCTGTCCCTTTAGTAATGCGTTGCAAATATGAACGAGCCGATTGTCTCAAAAATACCGGGTTGTTAAATATGCTCTACACCAAAATAAATTAACCCAGAGTGCAAACGCTGTCGTGCAGGCATTGAGTCATTTTTATGCATTCAGAATCCAGACGGCTAGGAGTTTTAATGTGTTATCACGCGGAGCCATAAATGACGCCTTCTTCAAACAAAGTTGAAGGCTTAGGGGAAGATGCTGTCTCGAGGTATGAAGAACTGTGGTGTAAGTTCAGCGACTTGATGTCTTAGTAATAGTGCATTAAAAGTACACGTTACCAGTTAGGCCGAATCAGGGATACCCAAGTAAGTAAATATATAAGCAATATTTTTATTGAATATCCGATAAATACTGCAGATCCAACATTTTCCTACAAGTGTACTAGCCTTCATTGTAGCTAGAGTTAGTAACTTTTCGTAACCCATAAGAACTGGAAAAGTTTGTGCAATCGTCGATAAGGCGTAAATAAGAATCGGTCTATCGGTACAGCATCCTCTATTGTGTTCTGCGCCATTTTTCTGTTGCTGCCATCTCTCATAAAGTGTTGGCGAGACTTGAAATGAATTGAGCTTGTCTACTTTAAGAATTTATATTTTGTTTCAAAGCTGCAGAAGGATCTCATCAGATCTGCATAACGTTTGGGGAAGGTGTCATAGAAGGAATTACCGCTCAGAAATCGACTAATAGATGTGAATCTGGTGATGAAACATTCGCAGATGAATGCACCACCTTCAGAAAGGTCGTCTATTCCTAGTCAGAATTGTAAACGATGTGACAAGAGCTCCTGGTAATGTTCATTGTGAATACTGATACGAAAATTTCTTTGCATTCATACCAACTAAAAAGGGTAAGTCATGAAAACCATGCAAATGGATCCCACCTAAGTGCTTTGATACACAACAATAAACTACACCTCTTCAATTCTTTCGCGCGATAAAATCATGCGTAGTTAGAATGATTGCTGACTGAATAGGGGTAAAAAATGTCTATTGTGTCTCATCCTTCATTTAGTGAACATATCATTGGTTACCCCGAAAGGATTTGCTTACTACTCAGCATTTCCAAGGCATCACTTCATCCACATATTACTGCAGATGAAAATGTTAACTTGCTAGCTAAACTCTTCTCAATACAACTTAACGAGGCAAAAGATCCTGTTTTTACACGGTTGCGTAACGCCTCGTACCGTAAGACGGACTGAACTACAAAAAGATTTGCATTTTGGGCTGAGAGTGAGGCAGCGCCATATCCTCGATGATCCCCGATATCCTTCTAAGACGTAATGGTCTTTCATAGTACCAGATCGTCTCATGCGAAATAGACAGGCCAGAAATAACAGTGAGACAGAAAGGAGGTGACTCGGGTCAGAATTCTTTGTTAAAATGTTTTAAGAAAGTGGAAATCACAAGCTTGGGATTGTAGAATCATAGTAGTAGTTCGTTAAGCGAATCAAATATTTTAATAAGCCTTTGCCATTTTGTTGAATTTATAACAAAAATCCATTCCAAAGTACCTATTTACCGTATGGGTAATACGCTTTCAAATGTGTTTCACCTATCATTCTCACTAAACATTTTGAGAAGTCAAAGAAGTTAGGAAACAAAAACGCATAAAAGGTAAGGTGATGTACAAAAAATGACAGAAAATAGTTGGAAACAGAATCCTCACCAAAAGCGATAGGCATCTTTACGAGCGTGATTTTGCAGGGGAAGTCCAAACAAATTAGTTTTATCTTCTGCAACAGTTATCCACGCAGAGTCATTCAGTCTGTTGTAATCTGTAGTTAAAAAATTATGCGCTACAAAAACAGGCACTAATCGCTGCAATTTTTTACACTTTTGCAGAATATTAAAGCAATCGGAAATAAACAATTAATTAAATGTCTAAAGGCTAATTTTCGTGGCATTCGAAATTGCTGAATTGCTACCCTTTCCCACGCATTATACTCACCACTTCCTACAACCTGGTGGTTATAGTTTGATGGAACTAGAACCACGTGTAGCTGAAGTGATTAACTGCTGCTGATCCGCCTGCAAAGGCCCGAAATTTAAAAGATGGTACTGGCTGCAGAGTTGTCGTATCATCCATTGGTCAATTAAAGAAGCGTAACTTAATTTGCAAGATCGCTAACAATCACTTCAACTAATAGTATTCGCACATAACTTTATTGATAAGAGAGGTTATGGGAATCAGACTTGTAATGAAAATCGCGTTTTTAATTATGGTCTTTAAAGTTCTTCAGTGGCTAGAATAATCGGGATTTTTGCGTCATCTCAGTGCATAATGATGACTACTTATCCATTCATCTACTACATCCGTGAAATGCAATCGAGAGGTAAAATACTTTTTCTGCGAATTAAGGCAGACCTTTGGGAAAGATTGCCATTTCATAGCAGAACCGAATCACTCACTTTAAACTTTTCTAGGTATTTTGAAGTTGCTTCAGAGGTGATTAAACAAATAAAACTAGTGGGTGAATAAACAGGTGAACTTACTCTCGTCGATTATCTCAATAGTTCGTACTCTGTTTATCGGCACAACTTTAGTTGGATTAATTCTCTTCTTGAAAGCCAGGCCTGCTTCCACAGTAAAATTTTCGATCACCTGATCCGAGTAAGGAATGTTTGCTAAACGCGAGTGACACCAGGTATTAGGACATCAAAATAATCCAAATACACTTAATGTTATTAAATCGGTAAATAAATAGGACTAAGATCATCACCTATTATTTGTGAAAACAACGAATAATGAATTCGAGAACAAATACTGTGCCCTATGAGTAGATTTGTGTGTACAGGTCATCAAATAATGTTAGTTGACATGGGGACTTAAAAAAGGACATTAAACAATTCACGTTACCAGAAGCGTATGCAAAAATAATCTAATGAAAAATTAAGGTATTTGGTAGATTTCTGTCAAAAATGCCCATGTCAAAGTGGCTCACAATGCTCTTAAGAACGCAGCAATCAAATAACTTCATGAATTTTACTATACATTAAAGGATTTTAATAGCCGTGTTATGTTCCACTATGAGTCCACGTAAATTTGCAGTAGCTAAGAATACATTAATGATAATATTTAATTAAGGCGACCATTAAGTAATATAGTGACTTTTCGAGGTGCACGTTTCTATTTAATTCTAACTGGAACAATACAAGTGTTAGACATTAGGTTTTGCTTTAATAAATGATTGAAAGCTTACATAATTCACTTTAATAGAAGGCATAAACGTATAAGAAAGCGTATCTTAGGTCTTTCTTCCCTCAAAGTCAAATAGAATGTCAAAGATGGTTCTTTAAGGTATCCTGCAACAATCTATAGAAACAATTGCAGAATTGCTTACTTCTGTGCATAGATACGACGAACCCGAGTTTACCAGTTTCCGGTTAAAGTGAATTAGAAAAAATGTTTGCACTGGTGTCGATTGCAATGAAATATTGCTGAGAACGTGGTAATTATATACCAACTGAACAAAAATCCTACTGCGAACAAGACAAAATTACTTGTTGTAAGTGGACCAGGATAGACTTTATTGACGTCTGCACTGCCGTCAACTGACTGAAGAATCCTGGCACACGCGCTCCCAGCCACTTCTAATTCGGTCACACTTTCGAGTTGGAAGGGCAGAAACGATTCCGCAGCAGCCTGCACAGCACCCACACTGCCTATGAGACGAGCATTCTCACAGATATTCTTCAAGCGACTGAACTGCTTGCTCTCTCTGGTCAACCCAAACGACGAACCTGACTTGCCCCAAGGACTGCTGGTCATGTCTTCAAGAACACTCAAATTTCTCATATAGTCAGCTTCCGGAAGACCGAGGGGGAGGTACACAAACTCTACCTCGAGTATTTTGGACATGGCTGAAAGATTTGGGTGAAAAAGTTTGACTATTACTTTTTTAATTTACCTCGTGCTTATTGTAAGGTAGACTTTGAAGTGATCTGCCGTTATAAGTGTAATAAAGGGCACAAACTTATCAAACATACTCACTGAATTGCTACTTATATATTGTCATACTAATAATCGATTCGCCCGATTATATATGTACTAATTAGAGAAGTCAGTGACAAGTATTCGTTACAGCACATTAGTGAGAGTTTTGACAATCCGGGAACTAAAAATGTCAGGCGAATGTAAACCTTCTATTTTAATAAAAGAAATGGCTAAAACTTAACTATGGTAGTTCAGCAAAGAATCAGGGCAGTGCGTTTTTAGGGTTAGCTGTCAGGTTTTGAATTAGAATTAAAATCATACTTGTAGACATGAAGACGTGCGACTGATAGGCGGTAACAAATTTTACATAAGGTTAAAGTAGAGTCGATAGTTTACTTACGTAAACTGTCTTTTTCTTGGAATTTCCGCATGTGTACAACCTGAAATGAAATACACCTCTGCGTAAATATTCAATGGAATTTTAGAGTTATATCCTCTTTTGAAGTAGTTTATTTTATTATGTCTGCTATTTAGTTAAAAATCATAATAATAATATCGCTCTCAATCCTAAAGGAGTGAGCCCTCATGTCTGGCGGTTCGTCTACTTCTCAATGGAACAGGAAGGAGGATCGGCTTACTTACGAATACCAAACTACAGCAAACGACTAGAATAGGTTGCGTATTTGGTTTAAGTAAAGGTGCTCCTATCCGTCTTCCAATGCGTAGCTAGAAATTGGCACCGTGTTGCGTCAAAAGCAATATTTTTCCTCTCTGTGTTGATAGGATTTGCTTAAACAAGTACAAATTTATCGCATGAGAGCCGTGTAAACTAAAATAAAAGGGGGTTATTAAATCCCATACATTGTCTTCCGAAAGGAAGGTATCCTGGTTATGTCTTTAGTAAATGAACTCAGTGTAAATCCCCTGATTTATATGTAAAATGTTTTCAAATGAGTCATTATGCATTGATAGTTATGTAAACATTAAGCGAACTGATAGCTGCGGACAGGGCAGACTCATTAGTAACGAATTTCTCCAATTGAATCATTCTTTTGTGAAACACTCAAGTAGGTAAGCAGGCATTCAAGTATGCAAGCTACTTTCTCTATTTTTGCACTACCAGTGCAACTCCAGGCAAGCAGGGCTCTTTACATTTGTTAAAACAGGGGAAAACAGTTTTGGTATTAATTTAAAATTGTGAATTAAGTATCCTGACAATTTTTGAGTGGTGGTAAGATTAATCATTTACACCTCATTAACTCTCACAAAACCTATTTACAAAAGGCTTGAAGGAATTAAGTAGTGGTACAAGTTATTAGGACAAAGAAGGATTTGGTTTGCGGATGAAAATCATATAACACGCCTGGTAATACGTTCGCTCAAGTTCTCCTCGGTGCTCAGGCGCTTTCAGCACCTTAACAGTAGCATGAGGCTCAACTTCACTGTTCTCTAAATCCGCAACGGATTATATTGAGGAAGCAATGTGTGAAATTCCTATTACTTGAGTGTTCACATTATGAGAATAATGGTTACTGCATAAAACCGAATTTTCAATTCTGCTAATCTAGCATTACTGAATGAATGAAGCGAAGTCATGTCAAAATTTGCACGAAAGCATGCGTAAAAATTTTACTTAAAATCCTTTGCAGATATACAGAGAATGTCCACTTTGGATAATTCATTAAAAGTAATTTTATTTTGCCATACATTGCCCTATTGTATCTGCACATGCTTAGCACTTGCAACATTTCACCACCAAATCCCCGCCTGCATTTGAATTAGGGTAGCACAATTTACCCTTGAAGTCACCCATAAGTTAGCTAGGTAGACAAGCGGTCCGATGTGCTAAATAAACGTTACAATGGGCTCTTAACAGCAGTTATTTTGCCTCAATTATTTATTGAGTACCACCAAGATGTTTTCTTAGAGATACACTAATTTTGCAACACACCTTGAACCACTTAATCTATAGTTCCATAAAGAAGGACTCACTGCACTTTTACCGAAGAAAAATTAATTTAAAAGAAAAATTTCCCTCTTTTCAGTACTATACTAAAATTCGATGAGGTAGTAAAAGTTTCACTGCAAGAAAATATATTATTTGTAATTCTAATGCATAACACCTAAAGTACCAGATTCTCTGAGTTGCATTACAGACATACGGAAATAGGCCTAAAGTTGGATCATACTAGTCAAGTAAGGGCTTATCTGAGATGTTCAAATTATTTTTATTAGTTACAGCCAAAGCATCCAGGCGTAAGATAGAATATTAACACTTACGTCATAGATGAAAATATTTTGTGATTTAACACTGGGATTCACGCGGACACGCAAAGCCTGAGCAAGACTGGAGTTGAGGCGTGAAAACTCTGACATCTCGTAGCTGTTGTATGTGTTTGTCCACCGAAGACGAATACGGAGTCGTGGGCTGGTAATCATTTTTTCGACAGGTGGAACTTTCACAGCAACTCTGAACTCAACCTCTACTGTTTCAGCTGACGCCCTGTTCGTGCCACGGAAGCTGCACAACGGATCGTGGGCCACTTTAATAGCGTATCAGAAACAATGTTGACTTGGGCAAAATTTTACTTACAAGAAAGGCATAATTTGGTCACTTTGTAGTTCAGTCACGATGCATATCTTACCCCTTGTTTTATCCCAAGAGAAGTAGTCACCTATGCAGCAAACCAGTGCGGAATAAAAAATAAAAAACGTAATTATCAAGCATTTAGTCTGTACCAAATGGACAGGTTTTGTCTGTTAAAGCATAAGTCAGTCCACAAATAAGCAGCCTAACCGCATGAATTTAATATTTTTAATGATTTGCGATGAAATATTTTATGACTAGGTACTAAAGATTAACATGATAATTGATTTCACACATTTGACGCAATTTTCTCTTTCAGCGATTCCACTAAAATTTAAGATAGACAATACTGGCTTCTTAAAAATTTTGTTGGAAGGCCGTAAGAAGTCAGGAAAATTCACTCAATATTCCATTTTTTCTATTCAGAAGAGTCATGAATGGGATTTTTACCCATTTGGGTCTGCTCCATTTGAATTCTTTACTTTATCGTGCCAATTTGCAATGCACCATTCAACTACCGTTCATTGCTCTGCTCAAATATAGTGATGTACTTTTAAAAGGTATTTAATTACAGCCAGCACCAATTTCTAATGCCTAGTTAGACTTATAATATGTTAGAGGATTAAGTCAAGTGTGTTCTGTGATCATGCAGGACGAAATTGTTGGCATTCTCTCTTTTTGATGCCTCACACTACCATTTCTTACTGGCATATAACTTGTCTGTGGATTAAAACCAGCATCTTTATCTTAGTTTTCTGTTAGCCTAGGTATTTAGTCATACTTTATGGTTTATCTTAATTAAAGTGCTTCTAAGATGATGTGAAGGCAACTTTGAAGTTTAAAAGAACATTCACAATGCTATCTAATTTTCAAAAAGAGAAGCACTTTAGATTACTGAATAGAAATCTGTGGCAGATATGATTTGATATAAACTTTTGTAGATAAATTTATTTTAAACCTACCAGTTACAGATATGTCAATGTTTGTGATTGCATCGACTCTGAGCTCAGAGAACCAGAAGACAGGTATGGAATAGCACCAATAAACTCCTGCAAAGTTAATAATCGCATCCCAGCAAAGGAAACATGCATACTTTATATATAAAGACTTATTTTTATTCACCACTGGAAGGTTTATGAGAATGAGGAAAATCTAGGTTTGAATGATTTCCTACTAACACATGAAGGGAATTTAAGGGCAGTTTGTTGAACTAAACATCGAGAAATATAGCAATACCATATTTATAGAAGTGGACTATCTATCAACAATGGATATCTAAGAAAATAATTATGCAGGTATTTAAAACCTTTGTTGAAGTGATCCGAATTAATTGACACGGTCATCAACTGGGCGTAGGCGACTAAACCTAAATGTAGGTTAGTTTTCCTGCAAAATTGACAACCTTTTATTTACATAAGTTTGGTACTATTTAGTTGACGGAAGCGGTAAACAAATCATTCTATAGGATGAAAATTCGGCCATTTTACCAACCAATGTTATGGGTAACAATCTATATTATTAGTCTACTACGGCTTGAATAACAGAAGCACCTAATAATTTTAGCAGCAAAACCTTGCTTTTTCCAATTAAATTTGCTTATCAAAGTTTGATTGTCAATTATTACAGTGTTCCCCCACTATACACATCGGCCACCAATAAACTGAGAGTGGATTTTAAATTTATCGCACTGAGAAGTTGCTATTCTGCAGATGTAAGTCGGCAGCGAGACAGCTAAGCAGGTTTTAACCTTTCAAATCTTGTAAGTTCCATTTTTGTCTTATCACAAGATCGGAATTCGAAAAGGAAAAGTTAGCCATTGAATTTGTCTTTCGCGCCATAATAAATCCGCTTGAGAAGTGGAGTCGCCAGTATCTCGTTGGCGGTGGTGTCCTACACTGGTCTCTTAATGATCATATTTAGGTGCTTCATTCAGTCTGAACTTTCGACCTTGCTTTTATTATTTGCCCCATGCACTTTGCGTGGTTAAATTCTTTTTTTGCAGGCTAGTAGCGGCAAAATAAACTCGTGATACCGTCATTTAACTTGAGGTAGTCAATTTCTGTATGTAATAGACACAAACTGTGCCAAATTTCAAATTGCTGCAAAAGAAATATTTGGAGTTGGGGTCATTGCTCTTGAAGTAGTTTCGGTGATACTAAATAGGTGTTTGAGATGCCCGAGGAGCAGCGTTTTCGTAACAAAGGCCAATAATTATCCAGACGGTATATAAAGTCGGTCAATGCATACAGCCAATTAGTTTGTAGATTATGGGCTGTTTCAATATCAAAGAGCAAAATTTTACTGAAAGGAATTTATTCAGCGATTCAAAAAGCTGGTGAAGATGACCGCGATATCACCTAACGGCGTATTGTTCAGGCTTACTTAAAAGGGTTGGTGAATTGCAGCTTCTTCTTCCATGTATGCAACAACTAAACGGTTTTTTATCTTTTGCATTACAAATACTGACGTACTTTTTGAAATATCATCTGAACTAACAACTGACTTATTTTAAAGGTTGAGTTAGTAACAATATGGCTGTAAATAAACTGCAATTTCCGAAAAATTTCATTAAAACCAATTAAAAAGATGTAAAGTACGTACTTTTCAATCTACGATAATTTATTTTGGACCACTTTCTTGCGTGAGTGATATAATGTGTTCACTGAGTTAGCACTTGCATGGAAATTCACGCTCAGGCGACCTCAGATCCTCTCCAGACAATAATTTTGCAGTAAATAGCATGGAAACTGAGAAAAATGTTGACTATGCCAAATTTTATGTCTGCCAAAATAGTGGAAAGATAAATACATTAAAAGAAACAAACCTGGGGATACGTGAATGATAGAGCTCTTCCTAATTGGTGTTGGTGGTTTCACTCGAACGTTAATATTGGCTGAAAATAAAAAAAAATAGAATTGTGTCACATTTACATTTGAATGTAATGAGACTGCACTTAAGATCGCCTAATTTAACAATTTTGAGAATAATCTCAAGAAGATTGTGAGAAAACTCGTGATAATAGTTGTTTATTAGGCAGGTGCAATTGCTGGTTTAGATACCTAGCAAGTACCTATGAATCGTCATCGACGCTATTCTGCCAAAGGCCAAGTGTCATATAAATGTACGAAAGTAACATAACAAAGTATAATATCGATAGAGTTTTAAAAATAGTTGCCACGGGTTAGGAATTTGGAATAATTTTTGAATGATTGACTTACAGAAACACGCAAATGACAAAAAGCCACCACAAAATCTTAATTTTCAAGGTTTCCTTCATTTGAAGTTGCATTAGCAGTCTAGATATCTGATAAGGAATGATTTTTTGATAGAAGTAGGATTAATATAACTAATAAAAGCAAAGGATGGCGAATGGAAAAGGTTCATGCCTACCTTGTTGGCATGAGTGATTCAATAACTAACTAGTACACTTATCATTGTTGAGAGCGGCTGAAGTGGTCTTTAAGGTTTTAATATGATATCCTCGTGTATTCGTGAGTGTGTGGCATAAAAAATATTTATACACAGTGTTTATGACGTTCCACCGCTTCGACTCCCACTTTCATGATAGTTCGGTAGCTACTATTGATAGGCATTTAATTTCTTGGACCAAGGGAGTCGAGACGCTACATAAGCGATGAAATGTCCTGCTTTGATTGCAACAATATGTTAAATAGACGAAAATTCTTGACTTTATTTACGTAGCGCCTTCCTTTTCATAATCTCGTTATTTATAAGGAGAGTGGGAACATTTCAAAACAAATTACCTTTTGATACATGTGACTTCTTCCAACATCGTCCATAATCTATGGATAAGCTGGATTTGCCGTGAGCACTCAAAATTCAAAAATTTAAAGTGCTAATTTTACCAAATAACGGCTAAGTAGTAAATCAGAGGTGAGTACTACGACGTTCTTGTTTATTTTTGTCCTAGAAACAACTTATTGTTTTCCTTTGAACACAAAAATCATACACTTTGCCCGCATCAAACAAAAATCTTTAAAACCCATAAGTACCTTAATTTCAATGGCAGCATTCTTTCAATAAACTTAGACTCACTGCACGTTTGACCATTTGCAACGTTGTAGGCACAGAGAACGAATTTGTGTGTTCCCTCGTGTTCAGGGTATGGACGGAGGCGAAGAATTTCATTGGTTTCATCAAAGGAAATCCAACTTGCCCCGTTGCCGCCAATTTCACGACCCCTTGCTGCAGAAGGATCTTTGAAATCTAGTCCAAATTGCATGGGGTAAATATGCTCAAACAGTCGCAGTTGTAGTTTTGATCCATCAGGAGAGTGAAATGTGTTAGGGGGTATCCTGATATTAGATATTTGTTGAACGGTTATCTCAATTGGTACCATCGGTTGTACCAAAATAGGAGGATTCGCGTTGGAAGATGAAAAATGCGTTTCTCTTAAATCAGACGGTGACATGCCGGAGGCTTCGGTAACAGCACCTGCTGTGCGAGATGGATAAATTGGCTGGTAGCCTTGAAACGCTTGTCTCTTGGAGCGCACCTTCGAAACGTGATCGTATTCTCCAACCATCCAGTCTAGCATAATAGCTTCCGCTTGGATGCTGGAGAGACCCATCCAATCAGAGATGTCTGGAGATTCCTTTAAGCGATTCTCCACTTTAGAAAGAATTTGGAGGGAATTGTCATCAAGATATCCACAGCCTATCTTCCATATAAAGAATAGTGACTTTTGCTGCTCCTCGGAGGCTGTTGGGACTTGTTTTCGATCATTATTCGCTTGAGCTAGGTTTGAGAGCAAGCTAAAATTTACAGACAAAACTACTTTATTTAATGAATAAACTTTAATAATTCAAAAAATTAAACAAAATTGATGAGCTTAAAGAAATTCTGCGTTATTTATCATGGGACTAGACTTTGCCATTGTAGTGCACTGCCAAAAAGAAAGACGCTTATTTTGATAAACTTATTTCTGAAATCGTACTTCAGCAAATAGATTTTACACAACTTATTAGGTAATTTCAATGTCTGGCTAGATTTTTTATGATGTGTGAAAGATGCTCGAAGTAAACGCCAATTGAACGAGTTAAAATTATGGCCCGCAACAGGAAAAGAAAAGCTTCCAGTAGGGCGTGATAAATATGAAACTATTTTGACGCTCGAGTTTATATAAAGAATTTGCTCATAAACTCATGCAAGACTCTGTCTTACTTAATTTTATTAGAATGAATAAGGGTACATAAATTTCAAATCTCTACAAACAGTATTTCACCCAAAATATTTTACTTATTAACCTCTTTTCTAGGTACCATTTACTTGCAAACTGTTTAAAACTTTGACTACCTATTCGTATCTAGTGAATTTGTATTCAAAATTTGCCCTCCTTTTAGATTCTTCTTTGAAATCAGCTTCTATTTTGCAGGTACAGATGATTCGCTGTATTTAAAGCGGCGCCATCATAAGTGATTTCACAATGCCGAATTCCACACGTAAGTGAACGTGTTTATGTCCCGTGGCGAAGCCTACTTAACAAGGGTGAAATACATAGCCATTCCTGTAAAAATTAGAACTAAAATGTTTACTGTGATTTGAATAAAACTTCCTTTATACCACTTAATTTGCAGGAGTTTTGTAAAGGCATAGGGCTAGTTACTACATAAAGGAACGACTATAATCCATGCAATATTTGATGCGCTTTCCAAGCGAGGAATTCACCTAAGCAGAAAATTCACTTGGCTAAACCAGAAACTTCCCGGAAACACAATTCAATTAACATGCCAGTAAAAAAGCCTTCTGTAATTTATTTACCATGTTTTAGCAGACGACTATCACTAAATCGGTTTCTTTTAATTCAACACTTAAAATTTTATGAGGCTAACCCTGTTTACTTGGCTAATTTTACTCTTGACTAGTAAAAGTCAGCTCAGTTCAGGGACCTATGGTAATAATTTTACTTCTGTCGCTTAGAAAACTCCGTTCATTAGAAGCAATTTCATTTTAGTTATTAATCTGGCAAACCGACAACTGACCAACCTCAAGAAATCAGGTTTCTCGTCAACCAACAACGCATGTTCTCTTTTCACTTTCAAGCTTTCCAACGTTACGTCGGCACTGCTCATACACGCCTTCATTTTTCTCCATATTTTTAACCTCCCTGTCGGCGATCCCAGGAAGTTGGAAAAGTCCTTGAATCCAACTTTAATGGTCGCGAATATCGGTCGATTACAATCGCATGAAAACATTGGAGGTTTATCAGATAATTTTTCTGTAACGATGTGTATACATTGACATTCGAACGTAGAGTTGCAAGCTAAAATCGTCCAACCGCTGCTGTTTGCTGTGTCACAAAGAAATGGCAGACCGACGAGTGAAACCGTGCGATCTCCCATCGATACACTGGTTGTTAACCACGATGGCAGATTAGAGGAAATCTAAGGGGAGGATTTAGTACATTAAATGATTTTTTAATCTAACAAAAATTGCGATGACTTCAGTTAGAGTTTGTCGAAAAATGCCTTATAAGCCAATTTATTAACTGTTAAAGAATTCCTAAGTTGATGTTATAAATTCTTCTAGTAGACTATATCACGTTTCTAGGTGCCATTGTGGTTTTACTTTGTAATTACCAAAAGTGAATCGTTGGGAGTGATGCACCATTTTGGAACTTAGGCAGCCATGTGGAGGCTTCCAGAAGTTTATGGGACGGGAAGGGTGACACATTCAGAAGCGAACATGGTAAACATAAACTGTGCTTAACACAATCCACCTTGCATAAGTCCAACCGCTCAAGCTACTTCGGACTTAAAAATATGGCGCATCTACAGTTCTCTTTACACCCCAACCAATGGTAAATAGTATTTGAAATTAGAATATTTTGGCGAAATGTGACGTGATACCTGTACTTATGTCACCATCGTCCGTTTGCCTAGTAAGTGCATTGTAAATGCCCTGAGAATGGAACCGTGATACTTGGATAGATAACCGCCGCTAACTCCACAAAATCAGTTTTTCCATAACATAACTGTTTTCGCATAAACATCCCATTTTTTCAATGGACATCATTTTAAAGAGTAAAAGGCAAATTTCTTTTAAAACATGGTAAGCGATTGATTGTGCTAATTGACAAAAACAATGGGGGAATAACTCGTACAATTTAATGATGAACTTTGCATAAAAATCAAATGAAACATCAACGTAATAATTTTGGTTACTTCCTAGCAAAGACTTGGCATCATTAAATGATCTTGGAATATTGTAATTTGCTCCAAAATGCCTTTACATGTTGTCTTGACGAATTTCTTCTTAGCTTCATACGACAATGTGTGGAGCCTAAGGTTGACATGCGTTTGGCCGGTAGAACGCGTACTTACAAATCAAATTTTGTAAAAGTGCATAACTCCCAATTCGTTTTCCAGAAATCAAGGCGTTTTCGACATAACCATACGGAACCACTTTTGGACTTGGTTTAGGACACCAAATCAAACTACACTTTACACTCAAGTGCCCGGCTGCTATTAAGAGAAGTTATGACGTGAGAAAGTGTTGCTTTAATTACTTTTGAAAATGAAGGAGAAGTACCCAACGGTGCATAGACTCTAGAACACGATATTACTTCGTGCAGTAAACTCTAAGAAGCACAAAATTATGATTACTTGAAAAACCAGTCACAGAAACTCAAGACTGTAAGTCCAGATGGTTGGAAGATGGCTAAGCAATTGAATTCTAGCATTTGTAAGACGTTTTTTGTTGATCTGAAGATGTCCATGGTCTCCCCACATTAAAGCTTAATGTACAGCCTTTTGATAAAATTTAACTGCACCCTTATACAAACAAGAACTTTGTGGACTCTTCTGAGAAAGAATGTTAACCTTTTGAGAAATGAAGTTAAAATGTTATTGGAAGTGCACATGATGGCAAAAAACACTCGATGCAGTGTTCAATTATAAATATTCCCATATTAACAAACCGGAAATTACTTCAATTTTTAAAGAAACTGGTCTTTTCTAGAACATTTGCAGTTATGATGGATATTTTTGGGGTCAAAATAAGTTTACTTCCGACTTGCTATACTTGATATGATCATCTTCAATATACTCAAAGAGAAGTAATACCGTAACGTCTCTTCCAAGTGCATAGATGAATGGATTTCCCGCCTGTGCAGTTACATCCACAACTGGGTGGTAATCGCAAACTGTACCCAGAACAGAGCAAAGCATTGATGTGATTAGCACAATTGTACGATTCAGCATGATTTTTCCCATAGAAAAAGTCAGCAAAACAGTTACATTTCCACGTAGGCAGATATTCTTGACATAATCTCAGGACAAACAGAACGATTCCATTTGTAGTAGAACAGTCATAAGCAGGGAGTTTGGAAGAGGGCTTACGCGCAGTGTGTGGACAACTTGTGGAGGAGAGAGAAGACAAGAACTAAAACAACGCTTTGGAAACGTGGGCAGAACTTAGGGTGAGTGTCTACTCGTGTGTCCGTGCTACTGTGTGTCTGCCCACGCAGGGCAAGCCAGAACTCTTCTTGGCCTGCCCAGAGAACACTGGTGCGCGTGCTCTAGCGCCGTCCCGCCACTGCTTGTTCTTTCTTACACAAATCAACGCAAATACCATATCCAACGCTGTGGTATAATTGTAACTGCAAAAATTACTATGATATATTTGCGTCTTCCATTTATGATATGAATTGCAGTAAGTGCTTTGTGTGCAATGAAACTCCCACATCCGTTTTGCGAAAAAGCACTTGCTGGTGGTCCAGGTGACACACATTCCTTTTTATTCAAAGAAGTTCCTCATAATGTACTATTTCTAAAACAATCTGAAACCTTGCTTGTAATGATGGCACAAGAATTTCAGTGAAGCCGTCAAGTGTCCCTGATAATACAGAAAAGAACCATGCAAACTGAAACAAATACGACCTAAACACGGTAATGTTTACAAGAATGAACCTTTTCGATAGATTTTAAAGTAGTTTTAGGACTCCCTTAATTTAGCATTCTCATAAGGTGTTGTATGGAATAAATTAAGAATGGGATTTAAAACATAATAGGAGGGAATAAAATCATCAGAAGCCTCCTTGGATTTAGTGCTTCTGAAACTTTTGCAAAATATGCCATTATGTCACCATTAGTATCCAAGCGAATATTTAATAAGTGTCGACAATTTTAAAAGGGAAGAGGCTGTTTTCTAACATCGCCTGTTGGGTCTTACCTCGCCGTAGAAGTTCGCGTTAAAATAATCAGCCGAGGCTTCAATCAGCATCCTACGGTGAAAATCTGCATGTGTGGTCTTGTGCTCATCAACGATATTGACGCATGTCTTGTCGCTCATCTCACTTTTTTGTGCATTCCACCTTTTTCAACAATAAACGAATTTATTTGATATCGGCTACAAATCATAGCACCTAATATCAGGCGTTTTATTTAAATATTTAAGAAATTTATCTTTGGAAGGGAGGATCTGAGAAAAAGCTTGCTGACTTCCCTTTCCTAACTTCCATGTTAGAGCCTTAATACTGTGAACAGTTTCGATACATTCAGCTCAAACTCTAGTATTATGTAGTACAGAGATGGATCACTACGTGCGGAGAAAAGATGATTCTGTTCCGTATCAGATTTTCAGGATTAATTAATTTGAGTAAACCTAGTTACTCACTGTACACAGCTACTTATTATGACTAATTTCGCTAATGTCAGTGGCGGGAAGTGTTTTGTTGAAAATTCAAAGGAAAACATTCATTCATCAGGACTGATGAGCATTTCGCCTTCAGAGATATTTTTTCCCAAAACCACCTGTAACATCTGTAGATGGTTCAAATTTATAAGGTAATTAAAATAAAACTAACAAAAGTGATATTCATAAATACTTCAATTAACAGTAGGATATACGATCAAATTTCAAATGCTGTCCCATTCATTTTATCCATATGATATCAATCATGTACAACAAATGAAATAAAATACACATAAGTAACGTCCCTTTCGGTATTTTGGTTTTAACTAATTTTCATTTTTTGGGCATGGTGAAGAGAATTTAAACTGTTTGGGTGTGCGCGAGTGCGTGTGCCTCCGCATTAGGAAGCAACTCGCCCGCCAGTCCGCCTGCTTCCCGCTTCCCTGCATCTCTGTGGGTGTGTCCGCCCCACGACTAGGATACGTGGAAAGCACAGCGCAACCCGATCGACCATCCCGGTCCTGCAATTCGGCAGGCTCGAGTCCGTGAGGACAGTAAACGGTGGAAACGTTTCCTATGCGTGCCTATCACAATGTCGCACCTACCCTACGATGACCTGTATTTCGGCCGTGCTTAATATCTTCGAGTCATCAATTCGGTGGCGTCTATTCTTCACATAATTGAAAAAATGATGATTGCAGTAAGCATAGCATTGGTTTTCGTAATCCAAAAAATTGTTACCAGTGTCTACTTCCCAGAGCAAAATTTAGTAATTTAATGCATACCTTACCAGAGGACCTGATTTTATGGGAGAGAAAGACTTGGGCAGTGTTATGCTCAAGGCAGCAGTTATTCAGTTAACAAGCTCACTTCATTTTTCGCATAAGCATCCCTAGTAGAACTATGCCTCATTTTTGTGTATTATTGCTTCCCGTTAGGTGCACAGCAAATAAAATGATTAGTTTCCGCGGATTGTAAGGCTTGGACATTTAATTCAGTCAGCATCCTACATCAACTGCACAAAAATTCTGGAAAATTAAGGATACGTGTGTACGTTTATATCCGGCCTGTAACGGTTTATTATATCCACGCCAAAGTTCGCGGCATCTTTGATATTTTGATAATGGCATCTAGAATTGGCCAAAAGTTCGACTTTTGACACAAAACACAACTTAAAAGTTATAGTTACTAACAAAATTTCAAAAAGAGAAGAATGAAAAGTTCGTCGATTAACCATTGAACCAACGTAGAGAGTTCAGTCACTTCTGCCGAGTCGTGAATGTAGTTTAAATAAGTTTTACATAATTTTGGTAAGGTTA